CAATATCTAGTAATGGATCTTCGATCAATCATGGAACTTGTCTAGTTTGCATCAGCGAAACATGCAATATTTCTATGCCCATGATCCTGGTATAAAATATCTTATCCAAGAGCTCCCTTGAGATAACATGGTATATGTTCAAAAACTGACCAATGATAGAATATTTGGGAAGACATAAACTGACGTATAGTACTAACTGAATACACAATATTAGGACAAGTTACAGTGAGATAATTTATTTTTTTCACTAACTTCTATGTCGTTCATGATCATTAAAAGGCTCTTCATCCTTGGTAAGTTGTTGATTATGAAAAATTGGAGTATTGCATGGTTTCACCCATAATTTTCTAGTTTCTACTAACAGATCCATACATACTTTCGTTGAGATAAAAATATACATTTCTTGCTCCTTGATATCTCAATTTTCAATAAGTACTTCTAGGAATTAAAATATTTAACACTGAACTGATTTTGAAGAAATAATTTTAATGATAAGATTCTCTACGCATCGCTTCCAATTATAATAATATCCTCAACATAAACCACCAATAAAATGGAAGCAATGCGTAGAGAATCTTATCATTAAAATTATCATTTATTGGAAGCGATGCGTAGAGAATCTTATCAAAGATTTATTAGAAGCAATGCATAGAGAAATAAACCACCAACCGAGCTTTGAGACAAGCTATAAATCCATCAAAATAAAACTTAACTGCAAAGACTCACTTACAACCAACAGCTTTCATTTCATAAGGTAGTTCAACTACTTCCCACATTTCATTTTCAGTTAAGGCATTCATCTCATCAAGCATCGCAGCCATCCCACCCAGAATGGATAAGGCTTGTTGAACAGATCTTGGAACCTTGACAGAGTCAAGAGAAGCAACAAACGAGCAAGAAGCAAAAAAAAAATAATTATAATTAACACAAGAGGAAATGGGATAGGTGCAATGACGTTTACCTCTTCGAAGAGCAATAGATAAATCAAGATCACTATGAGGAGGATCCAATGATGAAGATGATACGGATGTCGAACTTGGATCAGGAAATAGAGGTCTTCTCAAGTAAACATTAGTAATAGATGGTTTGGTTGGAGGCATTGGAGATGGAGCTAGAGATGGATCTGGACTTATAATGTGATGCATTGACAACTCAACATAATTCGTTGAGAATTTAGACACTGATGAGTCAACAAAAAATGGGATTTGTTCATGAAAGGTGACATCAACAGAAACCATGTATTTGTTTAAGAGATAAAAAATCAATACCCTTTTTGCAGGCGAGAATATCCTAGAAAGTCACCTTAAGTACTTCAGGTTAAGTTTGGACACTAGTGGGTGAGTATCCCGAACAAAACAAGTGTACTCAAATATGTATGGTTCAATAGGAAATAGAGAGTTAGTTAGAAATGAAACTTTGTAGGGTGTTTGGTTCTGTAAAACAATTAAAGACATCTGATTGATCAAAAAATATGCACTAGAAACTGCATCAACCTTAAATTGTTTAGGTACATTCATTTGAGAAAAAAACAACTCTAGTTGTCTCAAGATGATGTTTATTTTTCATTTCAGCTAATCCATTTTGGAATGAATTATCGACACAGGATAACTGATAAAACATCCTTTCTATGTCATGTACATCTGAAATTGTGCAGAAAAAAAAATTTTGACAATGTCAATTCTCATAATCTTAACCAAAACATTGAATTGAGTTTTAATTTCGGCCCAAAAATTTTGACACCGTGAAAGTACCTTAGTACAGGATTTTATAAAGTAAAGTCATACGAGAGAAATCATCCACAAAAGTGACAAAAATATTGGAATCCATTAAGAAAAAAAAAGGCAAGGTCCCCACATATCAGAATGAACCAACTCAAAATTATGAATGACTCTTTCATTAATTCTAGAACAGAAGATAAACAATGATGTTTAACAAATTGACACGACTCACAATCTAAAGATGATAACTGTTGAAACTGGGAGTATAATTTTTTCAACATTGATAGGGATGGATTTTCTAATCAACAATGGATCTCAAAAGGGGATAAGGTGCTTGAGCATGCTACGAGTCGAGATACCTCATTATCCAAAATGTATAAACCTTTGATTCTCATCATTAACCATAAGCTTCTTCGTCATAAGATCCTAAAATAGACAATGAGTGGGAAAGAATAAGATATAACAATTAAGAACATGTGTAATTTTGCTAACAACACATGATTAAAAGAGAAATGTGTTAAACAAGGAACAGAAGTTAGAGGGAACGTGGATGTAATATTGATGAAGCCAAAACTGAGAACATTGGAGGTAGATCAATTTGCCAAAGTGACGAAAGAGAAGTATTTATAAAAGGTAGAAAGAGTTTTGGATTACCTGACATGTGATTTGTAGCACCAGAATCAAGGACCCATTGAGTGGAAGATGAAAGACAATAAGTATCAGTATTACTTGACGCAGAAAGGGCGATGACAAATGGGGATTTCTTGGATGCTTTCTGAAAGTTGATGAACTTGGCATATTCATCTATGAAGATCAAGAGAATCTAACTCGAAGATGCCTCATAAATGTGAGTTGACTATGATTTCGAACTCTTCTGATTCATTTTTAACAACTCCTCACATGTTATTTTCATATGACTAGGTTCATGACAGTAATAGCATACTACCTTCTACATTCAATTTCCAGAACTCGAAACTTCGCTTCTGTAACTATCCTAAGACTGAGGTTTACTGATATTTGTATTTTTCTAACTCGCAAAAGCACTATGTTGTTGTACGAATGAGGCTTGAGAACTCAGGATCGTATGCAGTACTCTAGAATAAGATTCATGCAGAGTCGTACATTCAAGTTCATTTAAGATCTATGATTTGACACCTTCATACTGAGAATTGGGGGGCTAGCTAGAAAACTCATGATAGTCATTCATTTTTCTTTGAACCTGTTGAATTCGTTCATCGATACTAAAGGTAAGTAGTGCGTTCAATTCTTCACTCACACTAGGGCTATAAATGAATCGATGCACTCAATGAACAACTCGAACTCAGCTCGATTAAGACTTGATCATGTTTGTTCAAATTAATAAATAAACAAGCTTGAACAATTTTTACAAACTTGAATTAGGAATAAATTAAACATGAACATAGTTGAACTTGTTCATTTATGTTCACAAGCAAACTGATTTGTTATTTCGTTAAATATTCGATATCAAGTTCGAATATAGCTCGTATCATATATGATATATTATTTAATAAAAATTTGATTAATTGTAATTTATTTATTTATAGATTTAATAGTAATATAGTATTACATCAATAATATTTTTAGATTGATTATTAATTATATATTTATTTTATTATTAATACTTAACAAATTGAAAATTAACATGATGGAATTTTGAAAGAGAACATTAATTTTTGTTTATTATCTTTTATTATGTTTGAATTGACTTTTTTTTTTATTTTTCTCAAGTATTTCTATAATTTACGAATGATTTCTCATTATGTGTTACTTTGTAAAACTAGTCATTTAAATTTTTTGAACTTGTTTGAGTATTTTTTTTCTCAATCTCAGAATTCATTTTTGTGAAAATATATCTGATATAGACACTAGACGACAACATGTGAGTTAATTAATTTAATTCTATAATTTATTCAAGTGATTATTATTCAAATTTGTAAAATTATTTATTATTTTTTTTATATTTAAATCTAGATACCCATTTGAATTTTTAGCTCGTTGAAATACTCGTTCACTTGTCATAAACAAATCAAATTCAAACATAAATAATTTAAACAAGCCAAGCTTGGACAATATTTGAAAGCTCGACACAAGCTCAAGTCAAACATGAATAGTTTATATTTGTACCAAGACAAGTCCAAACTATGAAATACTCGGCTCGACTCAGCTCAATTAGAGCTCTAACACATGTTTAAAGTGCATGTGATATGTATTAAGTGACCGGTCTTACTATTCAGCACGATAGAATTCCTTACATTAAAAATTCGCGAAATATTCTCTCCCATAAAATACAAACGCCAATTCCTTCATTTTAACACAGTCACAATGAGTAATATGACTGGATCGATCAAGTTCGATAGAATTTTGTATTTGTATCTAAAGTTGAGCATCCACTCTTATCCACTCATCGACTCAATCTAAGCTGGAGGATTATCAAGTAGATGCACTGTTCGAAGCTGAGTAGATCTTGCAAGAAGCCGACAATGCCTTCGTAAAAAGTAGTCAAAGACTCACAGAAAGCAAGCAGTCAAAAGCGGATGAAGCAGAGGAAGCAGTTGAAGGAAGACTTGCAGGAAGCAATCAAAGGTGGACGACGTAGAGGAAGAAGTTGAGGTCACTGTGAAAGCAGAAGATGTCGCAGAAGACGCCAAAGTAGGTAATTGTGTCAACAATCACGTCGCACGACACTAACGATCACTTCACAGGAAGCAATTGACGCAATCGACGAAGCCAGACGGTGAAGATGTCATGGGATGCAGACAAGGGCACATATGACTCCCTTCTTATTTCTCATTGAAATCATATGTTACAACTTTATAGACACTCCGCTCTCTCTAGATTAGGAATTTACCTAATATAGAAAAGATCTAACATTAAATCTCCTTTAATTATGTTCCTTAATATACAAGCTTTATATTTAGTATTTCCCATAACATTTACTAATAATGTCCCTATCTTTGTATCAAAAGGAGTAAAATCATGCATCCATATGAATAAGTAGAATCTAAAATAACTAAGCCCAACTCCACAATCAGAGAAATTGAACCAGGAATAGGCATTCCAAAGAATGATAGGAAATCCTTGAAAAAAAGATCAGATTGTCATGACAATAAAAAATTGCTAGGTCAAACTGACCTTTAAGAGATAAATATCTTCAGCTGAATTTTAGTACTCAAAACTGAAAAGATAACATATAGAATTGCTAGATTCATATTGAGCTTGAAAATGTTTAAAATACTAAAAAAAAATTACATAATACAATACCTGATCTGCAACAACCTCAACAAGCTCTAGTTCATAAACATGCCATTTCCTTGCACTATCTGATGGTAGCATCAAGACCATCACAGCAAAATTTTTAGCAGACAGCTCAGGCCAATCATTTATTTGGAAATTTGATAGATGTAAGAGTGGCACCCTGACTGCTACGACCTCTGGGGGTACATATCTTCCTGTATGAGGTTGAAACCTTGCAAGTGGACATGTATGTGGGATTCTAACTGCACGACTGCTATTAAAAACTTGATTAACTACAGGAAGGTTAATAGAAACAACAGAACCAACAGGAATTTGATTGTTTAAAGTATGAGAAAGCTGGAGATTAAGCCCGGTCCGTGAAGGCATCCATAAAGCACATTCTGCCAAATCTAGAGTCCTCCCAAGTTCAACAAGGGTGGTCCTCAATATAGTGTGTCTGTCAAGAGTACTTCGAATTTCATGAGTGAGCATCCTCACATGCCTCCCTGTCTCTTCCTGTGTGCGTATAAGACCCATCTCTCTATCAAGCTCTTCAGCTTTGTTCCTAAGGAAAAGCTCCCTTGTTTTCACACTTAACAGATCAGGAATTATGTGAACAAGCATCAAGGCTGTTGCACATGACACGACCGCAGTCGAAACTTTTGCTACCGTCATTACTATAGCAAGTGTCCTTGAGTGCATTGTGAATGTCCACAAGTTTATCAAGTGGGTTGCTCCACAAAGAACAATGAAGGCACCAAACTGTATAAGCACCCATCTATAAGGGAAAAATGAAGACTTCTTCACGAAATAAATGAGCTCAAGTGGAATAGAGAAGTAGGCAAGGGCAATGAAGAAATCAGAGATATATTGATACTTCACTAAAAGCTCATCAGCAGGCCATTGTGGCTCAATGCAGTCACAGCCTTCCATTTTTAAGGAACTGCTGCACCTGCTATCTTCCTCCTACATCCCTTTAACCAATTAAAAGCAACAAAAATAAGTCGCTGTAAGAAGAAGCAAAGAAATAGTACAATTCGTCATCATAATACTGAGCATAATCTTTAAATAAGAATCAACAAACTGCATGGTAGAACCGAATATGTAGGCTTGAGCATTACAAATTACATGAAAGCTGGATAAACAACAAAATTACAATGCAAGAATTCTCGCAATTACAACAACAACAAACATTTATCCCACTAAGTGGGGTCGGCAACATGAATCCTTTTTCTCCATTGTGTCCTATTGAGTGTCATATTTTCATTTAATTCTAATAAATTAAGATCATTTTTATACAAAATGTCCAAGTCTTTCTACGTTTACCATTGCCTTTCTTAATATAAATAAAATCTAAAACATCTACTCTCCTAATTGGATCATCAGATGGTCGACATTTAATGTGACCAAACTATCTAAGATGACTTTCTCTAATTTTATCTACCCCTTGAGCTATACTAACCCTATCACGGATATATTTATTTCACATTTTGTCTCTAAGTGTAAAGCCACTCATCCACTTAATCATTCTCATCTCGGCAACACTTAGCTTAGTTTTATACCTCTCTTTTAAAGACTAACATTCAGCACCATAGAACATTGCGAGTCTCACCACCATCTTATAAAATTTTCCTTTCAGTCTAAGCGGTACTTTTCTATCACACAATAAGCTTGAAGCATTCCTCCACTACAACCAACCAACTTGAATTCTACTAATAACATCCTCATCTATATCACCATCACTTTGAACAATAGACTCAAGATATCTAAAGCATTCGCACCTTTTAATAATTTGATCACTCATAGTTACAACTACTAGTTACTAGAGTTACCACTACTAAAATTACATTCCATGTATTCAGTTTTAGTTCTACTCAAACGAAGGTCTTTAGACTCCAATATAGATCTCCATAATTCAAGTTTTACCTGAGCTTTCTCTCTAGTCTTATCCACGAGAAGGATATCATAAGCGAAAAGCATACATCAAGGTACATCTTCCTGTAAATGTCCAGTAAGAGCATCCATAACTAAAGCAAAAAAGAAATGGGCTTAAAGCCGCTCTCTGATATAATCCAACTTAAATAGAAAAATACTTGGTCAATTCTAAATATTTGGTCAATCCTCCTTCTGTTCGAACATACGTAACAACTCTAGTATACATATCTTTAATGACTTGAATATAAGTCATATCAAACCTTTCTGCGCAAGAACTCTCCAAAGGATATCTCTTGGAACCTTATCGTAAGTTTTTTCTAAATCAATAAAAATCATATGTAGATCCTCCTTATTCTCTCTGAACTTCTCCATCAAACCCCTCAATAAATGTATAGCTTCCATAGTAGACCTGTCTGGCATAAATCCAATTTGATTATGAGGAATCTTTTTTTGATACGTCTTAACCTATGTTTAATTACTCTCTCCCATAATTTTAAAGTATGATACATTAATTTAATTCTTTTATAATTTGCACACCCTTGTGCATCCTCTGTATTCTTAAAAATGGGGACCAAAATATTCCTCCACTCCTCTGGCTTCTTTTTAGTTTTTAAAAAAATATTAGATTTTGGTAAGCCAAAAAACTCTCTAATCTCCTATATATTTCCACACTTCGATTAGGATATCATCAGGTCCTACAGACTTTCCACCCTTTGTTTTCTTTAAAGTTTTTTCAACTTCTTTTTTACTAGTGTGACGGTAAAAATGAAATGCTTTACTATTATTAACGATATTAAGATTACTAAGGTATATCGTATTTTCAGAAACTTCATTAAAAAGTTTATCAAAATAACTCGTCCATCTATGTTGAATAACTCTTTCTAAAAAATACACTTTTTTATTTCATTTTTAATACATTTTATTTGCGTTAAATCTTTACTTTTCTTTCTCTTTGTTTGGCTAGTTTATGCCTATATTTTTCACCATATTTAATATTTAATATATTATAAAGATCTCTAAATGCAGAATTTTTAGCGTCACAAATTTTTCTCTTAAATTTCCTATGGGTCATTTTATATTTTTCTCATTTCTCTACGTTTTTACATTTAAACAAATTTTTATAATAAAATTTCTTATATTTTATCTTTGCTTGCACATTATTATTCCACCACCAGCTATTTTTATTTATAGAAACTTTTTTTTATTCTCCAAGTATATCTTTTGCCACTTGTTTAACAATGTTTATTACTTTATCCCGCATAGAATTTGCTTCTTCATGAACACCCTAAATTTTGAAATCTTGAAGTTTACTCATAAAAATAATTTTTTAGGTGTCCCCATCTAATTCTACGACAATAATTTCTAGTATGGTTTATTTTATAACTCTTCAACTTAAAATCTAGAACTAATAATCAATGTAGAGTACTTAAATTCTCACTTGGAATGATCTTGCAATCTTTACATTCACGACGATCTCTTCTGCTCATAAGAAAATAATCAATTTGTGTTATTAGATTCATTCCTATAAGTAATAATATGCTCATCTCTTTTCTTGAATAAAATATTAGCGATAACAAAATCATACGCTAAAGCAAAATCAAATATAGTTTTACCTTCTTCATTAATCACTCCAAAAATATAGCCACCATGAATATTTCTAAAATCTTCCACCACTCTACTAACACGGTCATTTAAATCTCCTCCAATAAAATTTCTTTCTTCTAGAGGTATCATTTGTATTAAGTCTTCTAGGTCATTCCAGAATTTATTTTTAGAACCTATGCCTAAACCTAATTGAGTAAAATCACTTATAATATTAACAAACTTGATATCAACAATAATCTTAAGAACTATAATTCTATCTCTAATTCAATCAATTTTTACAACATTAGCTTTCAAACTCTTATCTATAATCACACCTACACCATTTCCAGTGTGACACTCATCTGAATACTAAAGTTTAAAACTTAAGTTATCAATCTCCTTAATCTTTTCTCCAACCAATTTAATTTCTTAAATACATAAGATTTTATCTTTCTACAAATCATAATATCAAATAATGTGGGAGCCCTTTCTTATTTTGACATTACACCTAGGCGTCGATGCAGCGGTCATTGCACACTTTGCACAGTATTCAGGTCATTCAGCGTGATGCTTCTAAGAGAAGCCCTAGTATTTAAACAATTGCCAAAAAGATTCATGTCATGATTTTTTGACAAATTTTACGCTTCATGTCGACTACCTAACGGAACCCTCCACTTTTCACATCCGAGGCTTGGGACCTAACAATGGCAGTGTTTACATTTCACATCCAGGGGATGCCCTAGCATTCACGCAAGAATTCTCACAATTGTGCTTTTTAAATTACCAAAATTGTTTAATTTTTTTTTGGGGCGCGCTTGGTTAGCAATAGAAAGAAACGAACAGTGATGGCTATCAGCAAAAATAGCATATCGGCAATTGTTTAATGTTTGCAGGATAGCTCTTATGAATCTACCGCCTCCATTCATTCCTACTGAGCATAGCTTGATATATTTAATAATTTTTAGGCAAATCATTTTGTGAAGCTTCCATATATTATCTACCTGTTTTCACTCCTAATCCACCCCCACCATATTTATCTAGGTGTCTTCTCAATGACCTGCCACCTTCCAATGTTCATACTCTCTAACTTTTACATTTGCTACTCCCAAAGTACATGCCATATAGACATTTGTGAATCTACCTTTCCCAACTTTGCCACATCCATTTATCATTGTTCTTATACTCAACGTGGCCATTAATGAATTGTTAATCACACCCCCAACAAAATTTATTTAGCATAATTAGACTTTTGTAGTTTTATAAATTTTACCTTTAAATCGTTAAAATCACACAATACAAACAAGACATCTCCATTTTAGCCATATGGCATCAAATCTATAAGATATATCTTTATGTGTGTGCGCGCATCTGGATCTCTCTCTCTCTCTCTCTCTCTCTCTCTCTCT